GGCCCGCGGTGCCTGCTCCACCCGCGAATCTCCGCGCGCTCGGCGCCGCTCCACTTCCCTCTCTGCCGCTCCGGAGACCTTTGTGTGGCAATTACCACTCCCTCCTGGCCCCTCCACCCCTCGGAATTTCATCAATAACTCTGTGCACGGTCTGGGTGTGTGTTCGGCGTTTGTGAGTTCAAACATTTCACACGTGCATGTGCGGTGTGTGTCCGACACGGACTTGTGGGGCGTGTGCATGTGGGGCTAGATCGTTGCGTGTCTGTGTGCCGCGTCGCGTGCATTATGTATGCACACCGATACGCGCATGTTTTGTGTGGATCCAGTTCGCTGTGTTTGTAGGTATTGTGCTCTGCTCGATGTTTGTGTGTACACTCTGTGCACGTGTGTGCAATTCGTGTGTGTATGTGTGTGTCGTGTGTGTTTGGTGAAGTTGGGTCAGTGTCATTTGTCCTGGGAGGTTAAGAGTGTAAAGCTAGGTGTGTTTTTACTGCTGGCTTTCTGGGCGGTGTTACTTGGCTGCTTTTCTTAACCTTTCGGAGCTTACATTTTAATCATCGAAAGAATGTCTCTATAGAAATGCTGGCTGGCAGAGGGGCGTCGGCGTCTTTGGTTTGATGCATGTATATATGTGGGGTTTTTTTCTTCTCTGTTTTCTTTTCTTTTCCTCCTTATCTTCTTTTAAAGGACAGCGGTAAACGGGCTTTTTAAAAGGATATTTCTGTACAATATATCTCACGGGAATGCACGGCATTACATTTGAAGCGGAGGCTTTCAAGGTTTCGGCTGCATAAATTAAATATTTATCCCCCAACTTACTATCTGTTATAAATTGGCCAAAAGAATGAAGGCTGCATGCAGCGGGGGTGTGGGTGGGGGTGTGGTGGTGGTGGTGGGGACTCAAGGCATGTTATTGAGTTGACTTTGTAAAGATTGTTTTACTGTAACTGTAGTCATTTTAAAAAGCTTTTGAGTAACTACATTATGCTCAAGGAGAACATTTGTCAAAAGTAATTATCTAAGTTTCTTTGAAGGGCCTTGCTGGCAAGGCTTTGGATTTTAGCAAAGGGTTTTAGATAATTGGCCCTATTGCCCTGAAAAGAAGTGACAAAAGTCTTTTTTTTTCTTTTTTTTTTTTTTTAATTGCAGTCTAGTTATTGGTGGCAGGAGTGGCCTGGCCCTTTTACTTCTTAGTCTCTTTATGTGGTAGTGGTGTGTTATCATTTCGCCCCTTATCTGTGATTGTGTTAATCGCTAAATCACTCTCTGTGGGTGAATGGCCAGGTGATACTCATTCTCTAATGAACTGAGTCTGGTAGAGGAAACTTAGTTGTGAGGACCATGTGAGAAGTGAGCAGTAAGTGTTAAGTAGATGCCAGATTGATGTTATCGCTGAGGTTTTTTTTTCCTTTTTTTCTTTTTTTTTCCTTTTTTTTCCTTTTTTTTTTTTTTTGCCAGAGCATAGTACATTACTTATTGTTTGCTGGGCCATTAATTCAGAATTGTGTGGGGGTGTGCAGCTTCTGAAAATGCATTATTCAGGTTGGAGTGGCAATCAAGTACTATTATCGGGCTTCAGTGTATGTATTTTAAACAAGTGAACAATGAGTTGATTTATAAATATTTTAAAATAATGATTCATGAATTAGCCATATCTGCCTGTGAAGAGTTATTTAATAGATAACATTATTCTGATGGAATTTAATGCTACCGATTTGCATTCAATCAGGATATGTTGCTCTTCTCAAAACTACTGAGCATTATTTGATTGAATCATGATGTATTTGTATTGATATATCTTGCAATAGATTTCTAAGTCTCAGTTTTTTTGTGTGTGGAAAATTGAATTTTTTCTTGCAAAGTTCATTAATGGGAAAAGACACACTAGGAGTCATCAACACAAAAGAATTAATGATAGACCAGATGTCTCTAACCAGACATATTGAACTAGTAGTTATGGTAATTTTTCAATTTGATTCAAGTTATTTTTCCCCTGGTAGTTGTACAAATGTGTGTATGTTCAAAATGTGACAGTTGAAATAAAATACTGAATAAAGTAGCAAGTAATTGTATTGGAAATATCATTTCCAGAAATTTGTGATTTGTGAAAACAAATTAGGATATTTATTTTGTGTGTAAGAAGAAATTAATCCATTTGGGTAGTAGTAACACTTTTTACGTTTTCTTTTTCATTCCGTGAGTGTATATGGACTTGAACTTTCTTCCAAACTTCCATGATAAAATATTTTACTTGTAATTGATGGTATTAATTTACATTAAATGGAAAAGATTGTTTTAGCATCTCTGCTGTAGTGTCACTGTATTTTACAATACTTTTGATGATTTTGCTGTCATTTAGGACTTTCTGCTTTTTCTCCAACAAATATAAACTCAGTATCTGATGTTAAATGTAAAAATTAAAGAGGAATGGAAAATATTCAACTCAGTATGTTTCTTGTAATATGTCAATTACAGAGAGAGTACTCAAATTACCATAAATCTTCCAATTTGTACAGAGTATATGTGTGGTTTTCTTTAGAGAGAGAGAGAGAGAGAGAGAGAGAGAGAGAGGACACAGGGGAAAAGAAATGCAAAAGAGATATTTTGACCAAAAGCTTATGTTTAACTATAGTTTTGCCTGCATTTTAAGAAAAACATATGGAAGAAAACTAATTCTTTCTACAATAAGGATTTGCAATTGACAGCAGAATTTCTGCTTTCTTTTGAGAAAAGTATACAGACTCCAAATCTGCAAACTCAGTGGCAACTCCAGGGATTTTGTTTTAGAAATAGGTGCAGCTACGAAACTACCATTTTTCTCATAGACTATGTAATGATTGAATGTACAAAAGAAAGAAGAGTGGTATAATTCGCTTGTATTTCCAGGAATGCAGTGATTATTAACAGGCTGCCATCTTAAAACAGTAATGCTACATTTCCCCCCCTTTTTTTCTCTCTGCCCTGCATCAGTTGCAGAATTTCAGCCTTTAGATTCCACCCCTCCCCCTCGGCCTTCTGCAGTTGTAGTTGTTACTTTGCGCATTGCCATTTAATATGGAGTCTGCTCCCAAACCAGATGCATTTTTGTCTGCTTTATCTGCTCTTCTAAGGTTGCAGAGTCTCAGAGGAACCCATAATCAAATGGAAGTATCTTCTGTCTTAATATTTGTAGACCACAATAAGAATAAAAATCAAAACCATAACTCATGTCGAGCTGGGGCTTTGACTTTAATCCTTTTATCTCAAGTCTTTACTCTGTTACTATAAATACAGTTTAAACCATTGTGAAAAGATCTTCATGCTTCTTTGTAAAAAATGAGGATTTGACAGGACCTTGTTTTACTG